GCCATAAAAAAATTATTATACTCTAAAACCTTCTCCCCATCACACTCTTAAAAACAAAGGTTCTTTACGGGCATCTTTAAAAGAAATTGTAACGGAACCACAAAAGGGTTTTTATACTGGAAAACGGTTATTTTCCTCACAATGAGAAACTGGTTCTCACTGAATGGTTCTTTGGGGAACCAAGTAACCTTATTTTTAAGAGTGTGGTAGTGGCCATTTGTCCCACATTCCTGTCCACCCCTCGTTCGTTCCTGTGCACCTAGAATCGAGTCACCCGGGGTGTGTGTGATTCGCTCAGGCGTTGTGCTTTCTGATGAGGTCACTGACCTTGCTGATAGAGGAGAACGGTCCTGATACAGGGAGGAGAGGAAGGCGGTGACCCAGACTGTGGGAACCAGAGTGTGGACTGTCTATTTTGTATCTATTACACTAAATAGAAAAGCATTTTTTTTTTTATCATAACATGAAGAAATCCTAAAAAAGAACCAGGAAACAAGTCTTACATGCCGTAAAACTGTCTTTCAATCTAAAGCGGAAGAGCGTAAAATAAACTAAGAATCAAGAAGGAAGAGGAGAACACACTTCAATCCTCACAGTGGAGATGACACCACATAATATATATATATCGAATATAGGATTTTATTACTAATTTGGGGTAGATAATATATATCTCTCTATCTCTCTCTCACTCTACTTGTCTGTCTATCCGCCTGTCTGTATATCTCTCTATCCGCCTGTCTGTTTATCTCTCTATCAGTCTGTCTGTCTGTCTTTCTGTATATCTCTTGATCTGTTTGTATATATGTATGTATATCTCTCTATCCGTCTTTCTATCTGTCTGTATATCTCTCTATCATCTGTCTGTCTGTCTGTCTGTATATCTCTGTATCCGTCTGTCTATCTGTCTGTACATCTCTCTATCCGTCTATCTATCCGTCTGTATTTCTCTCTATCATCTGTCTGTCTGTCTGTATATCTCTCTATCCGCCTGTCTGTCTATCTATCCGTCTGTATCATCTGTCTGTCTCTCTGTCTGTCTGTCTATCTGTCTGTATATCTCTCTATCCGTCTGTCTGTCTATCTATCCGTCTGTATTTCTCTCTATCATCTGTCTGTCTGTCTGTCTGTCTGTCTGTCTGTATATCTCTCTATCCGCCTGTCTGTCTATCTATCCGTCTGTCTATCTGTCTGTATATCTCTCTATCCGTCTGTTTATCTCTGTATCCGTCTGTCTGTCTGTATATCTCTCTATCTGTCTATCTATCCATATGTCTGTCTCTCTAGCTGTCTATCTATCTGTATGTCTGCCTGTTTGTCTTTCTGTCTGTCTGTCTGTCTCTCTATCTGTTTGTCTGTCTGTATGTATTTCTGTCTCTCTGTCTGTCTATCAGTCTGTCTGTCTGTATATCTCTCTATTCGTCTCTCTGTCTGTCTGTCTGTCTGTCTGTATATCTCTATCCATCTGTTTGTCTGTATATATCTCTATCCGTCTGTCTGTATGTCTCTCTATCCGTCTGCCTGTCTCTTTATCTGTCTATCTATCTGTATGTCTGTCTGTTTGTCTTTCTGTCTGTCTGTCTGTCTGTCTGAATGACTGTCTCTCTATCTCTCTGTCTGTCTGTCTGTCTGTCTGTCTATATGTATTTCCGTCTGTCTGTCTGTCTGTCTATCAGTCTGTCTGTCTGTCAGTCGGTCTGTCTGTCTGTCTATATGTATTTCTATCTGTCAGTCAGTCTGTCTGTTTGTCTATCAGTCTGTCTGTCTATATGTTTTTTCTGTCTGTCTGACTATCTGTCTATCTATCTATCTGTCTGTCTGTCCGTCTCTCTATCTGTCTGTCTGTCTATCTCTCTATCCGTCTGTCCATCTCTCTGTCTGTCTGTCCATCTCTCTATCTGTCTGTCTGTCTGTCTGACTGTCTGTCTGTCTGTCTGTATATCTCTCTATCTGTCTGTCCATCTCTCTGTCTATCTGTCTGTCTGACTGTCTGTCTGTCTGTCTGTCTGTCTGTCTGTCTGTCTATCAGTCTGTCTGTCTATCAGTCTGTCTGTATATCTATCTTATCTGCATTAAAAAAACAGGTTACTTCAAATTTTCAGGAAAAGTCAGGAAAAATAATAGTGCAAATGAATTCAATACAAAAAAAATCGTTTTTGTTGTTTCTGAATCTATGATTCCATCAGTTTTGGCATGTGACACTAAAAGTGTAATGTTCTTCTAAGTTGCATTCAAACTGAAAATAGAACAAAAGTGTTTTTAAACTCCAGTGGTCTTTCATCCATTACTGTTATTTCCTCATGTTTGCACTCTCTCTGGCATTGAGTGGAGGTCACTCGTGTAACTTGGTCGGTATCTGCGACCGCTCCCTCTGACTCAGTGTGAGCAGCCAACCACAGACCCAACATCAAATTGAAACTTTCATACGTTTTCAGAAACATCAGTGAATAATCCTGAAAAGCCCCTAACACTCTTAGAGTACACACAACATGTCAATGATGCAAACTCTACTTCATTATTGCATGTTTAGCTAGATATTAAATATCGGCAGTAACTCCAGCCAGACAATGGTGTATTTGCTCTTTTAGACGTATAAGATCTGCCTCATGTACCCCCAGCTTTGAGCTTTTCAAGAGAAAAACAGTAAGGAAAACCTACACCGCACTTAAAAGATATATTGAACTCCCAGAAGAAATATCCAAGGATGGGATAACGGAATTGCCTTGACCTGAGAGACACGCATAAATCCCTGGATAGGAATACAAGCAACTGTCAAGGTGGTCCCATACAGGCGCTCGAAATATAATACTATCATCTAACTTTTCACAAACCATCACCCTTGTTGTTTTATGTGTCCAAGGCCAGGTTTGCTTTAATCTTTTAATTGCAAGATTGATAACCGGATGTTGGAAGAATTACACAGACACTGAGATAGAGCTTGTTCAGGGCCAGATGACTTATGTGACTCATAAACTTTAAACCCAGAATGACCTGCTGAATGCAGAATGCTTAAGCTTTTACATACCTTACACTTGAATTCGGTGCCAGTAATTCATGTCTGTACTTTTGGTAAGAAATGCAAGCATGTGAACCTAAAGGTTAACAAATGTAAGCAATGCAAGCCATTAAACAGAAAATAACGCTGAACTGTAGCCTATGCAGTCTGATCAAGTGTAAGTGGAAATGACGAGTGGGAAAGATATTTTTTAACCTAAAGGAAAGATATTTTTTAATCTAAAGAAAGATCATATTTACCTTGCTATAGTGCACTCAGCAAGTTTTTTTTCTCATTCAGTATTTTTCCACAAAAAAAAAAAATATTTGAAAAGAAATAAATAAGAAAATAAATACTTTTGATATAACATTATCTCATCAAAACAATAAAAGTTGATTACAGTAATAAGTAACAACAAAAATACATCTTCCAAACCATATCTTTTACTTTACAGACATATATTTTGATAACTGTAGTTATATAGGGCTAATGGTTTATATTTTAGATTTGTCAGGACGGATTTCGTGGGAAATTGCATACGATAGTCTACGTCATACGTTGCGTGACACGTCAAATTCGTAGAAAATTCGCTGTAGGAGCAGAGCTGAAGCACCTCTTGTAACCAAAAGGCTACTAAAACTTTGAATGTATGCTCATTTTTTGATGTGTTTGTATACAAAGAGATAATATGTATATATATATATATATATGTGTGTGTGTGTGTCTGTGTGTGTATATATATATATAAAATATTATTTTCTGTTTAAGTTATTATTATTTTATTTATTTATATATTTTTTTGTCTTTCTCGTTAAATTCCAATGTAATGTAATACGTATCAATCCTTGAACCTCTGGCTCTTGTTTGTGGTTTTTAAAACCTTTCACTGTTGTACTATGTAAGTAAATGTTTAATAAAAAAAATAAATTAAAAAAATAAAAAAAGCAGCAGAGCCGAAGCACAAACATCTTTTCCCGCGAGATGCATTTATTTTGTTTATTTTTTAACCACTAGAGGGCTACAACAAATTACGTACAGTAGGCCTATTTAAATCCGTTTTCATTGACATGAGATTTTTTTTTTAAATCCAGTCATTTCAGTACCTATCTTGAGATCACATGACCAGACAAATTCTCCTTACTTTATGTTTAATAAAATGTGCGTTTCTATTCAATTTTATTTACAATGAAAGCTTCGTCGACCTGCTTTTGTGCGGTGCTGCTATAGCAAATATAATGTGTCAGTACAAGTCAATTTCAGCACAAGCCGTGCAACACAACAAAAAACTAAAATAAATAAAACTGAAAACACTAACACCAAAAAGAACCGTAAAAGTAGTCTGTACTAAAAGTAGTCTTCATGAATCAAATTATTTTTCAAATAATATTAAACACATTATTGTACAGATGCCTTATTGTTTTTTTTTTGTTTGTTTTGTTTTAGTTTTTTTTAGGATGGGGGTCCCTCACATGAGGATGACCATATTATATAAACTTTATTACAGGCTCTAGGCACAACAACAGGACATACACTACTCAGAAAGAAAAAAAATGCATAAACATATACCATACACCCTTTTTCACAAAAATCTAAAAAGGCACTCATACCAATGCTTCCATATGTGTACAATATAGGTGTATATTGAAGGACCTGTGGCTTCTAAAATATTGTTATGCCACACCTGTGTAGGACAGTATAAACTTACATTATATGAAGATGCTTCTTTTGTGTTTCACTGAAAAAGTGACATGGAGAAAAGGAAATAGAAAAAGTTGATGGGCCCCATTGGCTTTCATTCGTGTATTTTTTGTTATTTTTTTGTATAACAGTTTGGTTGCCCATATTCTTCAAAATATCGAAAATATCGTCTTTTGTGTTCAGCAGAAGAGAGACCTTCATACAGGCTTGGAACAACTTGAGGGTAAGTAAATTGTGACAGAATTATTTTTTTGTGTGTGAACTATCCCTTTAAGCCTGTGACCCGGAAGTGCGTTAACATCACCGGCAAATGTACAGATTCTCTTCCGGCCTGTGAACCTAGGCTGCGAGCGTGGATTCTCATCTGTGCTCTTAAAATAATAAAATAATGAGCGTACCGGCGTTTATTGACATAACGGAGGAGGACCAGGTACGTTTAAGTAATTCACAAGCAGTTTTGCGTCGTTACACACCTAATTCAGCCAAGTAGTAGGCCAATAGTGTAATCATGCTTTCAGATGCTAACATATGTTAGCCTTTAGCTTGTCTCGATACATACAACGGACTGGTTCCGTTATTACCAATCCAATTGACAGAAATAGATTTAAATGTGTGCATATTTATGAATACAAATGTGTTTGAGTAGGCTTGGATATTTGGCTTTGTTGAGTCTGACACTCCGTGATATTGTGAAGCATCAGTCACGCATCTACTGTCTGACAACAGAAGTCTCTCAACACACAAATGTGATACAGTGTGTACCCTACTATGTCTTTAGGGTCTGAATGCTGTTTTGGTCAGACATGCATGTGTTTGCTAATGTGATTTCATTGTTATAATTTGTGTTGTGTCATTCATTTGTAGGCGTCAGAGCTCCGGTCCTATCTGAAATCTAAAGGAGCTGAGATCTCTGAGGAGAACTCAGAAGGAGGCCTCCATGTTGATCTGGCACAGATCATTGAAGCCTGTGACGTCTGCCTCAAAGACGATGATAAAGGTATGAAATGGCTGAAGCTGTAGTATACAAAAATACTATTCAGAACAACATTTTCAACCGCAGTCTGTGTTTCTCTGCAGATGTTGAGAGTGTGATGAACAGCATTGTGTCCCTGTTGCTGATTCTGGAGACGGAGAAACAGGAAGCCCTCATTGAAAGTTTATGTGAGAAGCTGGTGAAGTTTCGTGAGGGTGAACGGCCCTCGCTCAGGATGCAGCTGTGAGTGCTTTTCACTCAATTTTTGAGAACTTGCTATCTCTATTTTTCTATTCTTGTTCATTTTGCTTCTATTAAACTCTTTGTTCAGCTTGAGCAATCTGTTCCACGGTATGGATGAGAACACCCCCGTGAGGCACACTGTGTACTGCAGTCTGATTAAAGTGGCAGCCACCTGCAATGCCATTGCGTTCATTCCTACAGAGTTGGACCAGGTACACACACACCAGCGTGATGCAAAACCGATCAATGTTTTTTCCTTTTTCCCCGCTTAATCTACACAAAATGTTTGGGAGAATCTTACAAATAAATGTCCAGCTCATATTTCATCTCAAACTTAAGTTAACACAAAAAGAAAGCAATTAAACGCACTTTCCCCAGTTGTCAGTAGCCCACTGTAAAACTGTATATATTTAAATAATATGCTGTACATTATAAGTTGTAGATTGTATATCGTTACGCCAGTAGCTGGCAACAAGTGAGTGTTAAAATATTTGTCATTGAATAGTTTATACAAAGATTTGTTTGTCATTGAATCATTAATTTAACCCAGGGTTTTTCCTTAATTCAAATCGATTAAATATTTTTTAAAATAGACTACTGCAATTAACATAATTAGAATTGTGGGAGATTCTTGATCTCTATTTTTTTTTTAAAAAGCATAATTCTCATTTTATCCAGATTCGTGCAGCGTTAGTGTCCAGATGGGTGTCAATATTACACTAAAGAAGATTGTTTTGTGTGTTACAGTAATGAGAATTTGGAGTGGGAATGTGCTTAATTTCAATGAAAATAAGGCTATAATGCAACCAGGAGTCAGCAGTTTTCTAAATGCATGTCATACAACTTATAGTGAACAATATATCATATATTTCTTTGTTTATGGACCTCATAATGATTAATCAAAATGTCACCTGGATCTTTTGGTGTAAAAGACAGACTTCTCTCTGGTGACGTATTAAGGTCTCCCTCAATCATTTAATCTTAAAGGGATAGTTCACTTTGAAATTAATTTTTGGTATGTTTTAGCTTACCTCAAGGACATCCAAGATGTAGGTGTCTTTGTTTCCACAGTTGTTTTAATTTTGATATTTTTAGGTCAAACCGTTCTTGTCTGTCAGTCATATAATGGAGGTCTATGGTCACCACCTCAAAGAGCATGCACAGAGAAGTCCAAATTAAACATGATTTAATGACTCGTAAATGTAAGTACACATTGATGGCCTAAGACACGAAACGAGCGGTTCATGTGAGAAAACGAACAGTATTTATATCGTTTTTACCTCTTGTAACCACAGTCACGTCCTTGGCGTGATCCAGTGGCCTTGATGTAAGCTAAAACATCAAAAATTCATTTCAAAGTGAACTGTCCCTTTAAATCCGCCCTTGCAAGATCACATTTATCTGGATCCACATTTGACACCATTCAGAAACTGTTGAGTAACAGTGCATCGCAAATTGAAAGAAAAGATGGTTTCATTATGACTTTAAATTATTTTATTTTGAATATGTGTATTTGTTATGGAGGGTGGAATATGATCTGGAAATTTCTTTGTGAGATGAACCTATATAGCCATCATTAGCTTTAACCCTTAAAACTGTGAACCTTGTTATTATTATTATTTTGTGAAGCTTGATTGGTGTTTTGTGTCTTATGCAGGTGCGGAAGTGGATCACAGACTGGAATCTGAACACAGAGAAGAAACACACTCTGCTCCGTCTGGTGTATGAAGCACTGGTTGACTGCAAGAAGAGGTACCTGCTCTCAAAGGTTTTAGTTGTCCAGGCATTGTGGGTATTGCTCATTTGACCTTTCTCTTGTCTGTTTCAGCGATGCTGCCGCCAAAGTAATGGTGGAGTTGTTGGGCAGTTATACAGAGGACAACGCTTCACAAGCCCGAGTGGATGCACACAGGTATGGCTTTCTCTTTTCACTTCAACCGTTTCATTCGCTCAGTTTTTGATCTGTTGTCTTAGAGAATAACACATTCGGCCTGCTCTCCCAGGTGCATCGTCCGTGCCCTGAAAGACCCAAACACCTATCTGTTCGACCATCTCCTGATTTTGAAACCGGTGCGTTTCCTGGAGGGAGAACTCATCCATGATGTAAGAAAATAAAATATATATATATATTATTACATATTTAAATCGTTAAAGCCTCTGGAGTAAATGCCTTTTTTTCCTTCCAGCTCCTCACTATCTTTGTCAGCGCGAAGCTTGCCGCGTATGTGAAGTTTTACCAGAGCAACAAAGACTTCATTGAGTCTCTCGGTGAGTAAAGTCTTTACAGTCATAACCATGATGACACTCTTAACACCGAGTCCTAACCAGATGCGATGCGGCGCAAAAACTAAATCATAGTTTTTGTCCCAACAAGCTACGTCAGTGAAACCTGACGATTCCAAAATAAAGTATGGCGATCTCAAATTATGGTTATGTGCTGAAAGGTTTCTAATGAGAGTTTGAATATCATTTCGCGTGACCTTTTATAGCCACACTGAAAGCGACAGTGGATAATTCAACTCAGATCTTGAAAATAAAGAAAACAAGAACTGTCAACTCTGTATGAACAAACAAGTCTATTCCATGACAAAGACTGTGTCAGTCACTCAGTTTGTGTTTTTAATAATGCTAAAATAGTTATTATTTATCAAGAATGTGTTTATGTGGATTTCTATATTTTCTGACTCGCTTGAATGGTGCGAATCTGAGTTAAAAGTGGTTGTGTGAGGCTGGTTACTGTATTAGATTGAAATCGTGAATTGTAATGAAAACAACTTTTTTTAATAACATGCATACATTGTAAGATATTATGAATAATATATTACAGATCTTCACAGGTTTTTTTTTTGCAATGGATTATTGCAATACTATATTTCTTGATCAAAGTATTTTTAATAATAATATTTTTTGAGGGGGGGGGGGTAATGTTCATTTTATAATGGTGTTATAATAATCAAATGATAACATTTATAAATTATTTTTTGTTAAATGTATTACTACTGTTAAAGGGATAGTTCACTTTGAAATTAATTTTTGGTATGTTTTAGCTTACGTCAAGGGCATCCAAGATGTAGGTGTCTTTGTTTCTGCAGTATTTTCAACTTTGATATTTTTAGGTCAAACCGTTCTTGTCTGTCAGTCATATAATGGAGGTCTATGGTCACCACCTCAAAGAGCATGCACAGAGAAGTCCAAATTAAACATGATTTAATGACTCGTAAATGTAAGTACACGTTGATGGCCTAAAGGCCAATTTATACTTCTGTAGTGAAGTATAAATTGGCCTTTAGACACGAAACGAGCGTTTTGTGTGAGAAAACGACCAGTATTTGTATCATTTTTACCTCTTGCAATCAGTCACGTCCAAGTGATCTGAAGGCAGCGCTCGTTTCATGTCTTAGGCCATCAATGTGTACTAACATTTACGAGTCATTAAATCATGTGTAATTTGGACTTCTCTGTGCATGCTCTTTGAGGTGGTGACCATAGACCTCCATTATATGACTGTCAGACAAGAACGGTTTGACCTAAAAATATCAAAATTGAAACTACTGTGGAAACGGACACCTACATCTTGGATGCCCTTGAGGTAAGATAAAACATCAAAAATTAATTTCAAAGTGAACTATCCCTTTAATTAGTTTTAAGGAGTGTTCATATTTAAAATAACATTTAATAAAATGTCATTTCTCTTCTGTCTGTTGCTGGTCCTCTTTAATTTGTTTTTAAATGCACTCGACTGTTCAGGCACGCACACGCGTCTGGAGTCTCTGTTGCTGTTGTGCCGCTGGACTGGTGGAATTTGAGTCTCAGCAGTTTCGGTTCTTTTAAAAGGCAAACGTTAATTAGAGCAAAATCCTCCCTGCCATTGACCAGCGACAGCCAACTCAGACCAGTCCCGATGAAGTGTTGATCTAACAGTGAGAGCCCGCTGCACCTCCCTCTGAACTCTGAAGGAAATGGCTCATTGACCTTCTACTCATTTTGATTATTTTATAATTAATATAAACAGATTTTCTGTTGAGAAAGTGAAATTATTTACAGTTAACGTCAGCAGTAATCTCTTTCAGTAATCCAATGACGAGAGTAAGGTAAAAAAAAAAATCCCCAGTTGATTGATCACATTAAGACTTGCATACATTTTTTGTATTAGGTTTTCTGGAATGGTAGGTTAAAATATGCAACAAAAAAAGGCATTATCTAATAAATATGGACCAATTTGAATAAAGATATCCAGAATAGATATCTGAACATTGGATAAAGCCAGGGCAGTTTTAATAAATTTTATAAAATACTGTCAACCCATTTTCATGTTTTCAGAAATATAATTTTTGTATAAAATCAAGCATATGTTAAAACTGTAAAGTTTGGTGTATGTAAGTGCTGCTAAAAAATGGAGATTTACAGTATGGCTCAGTGCAGGAGAAGAAACTCGTTAAAGATATGGATTGTAATTGAAATCTACAGATGCAAATAGATAAAGACTTAAAGTACAATAAAAAAAAAAACAAGTGGATTTTGTATGTTTTCTGTCCACTAGTCTGAAACATGTTATGAAAAGCCAAATAGCCCAAAATATACATTTTTCCCATTCGTTTTCTCTATCAGGAGCTTTGCGAACGATCTAATTGAATCACCAACAGTAAAATATGTTTTGTTAAAAGACTATTGATTTTAGTCATTGCCTATAAAATATGGCAAGAGAATGTTAGTCATTTATTTGCAACAATATAAATAAACTGTTACTAAGAAGTGCTAATGTAGAGTTTTGTTCTTAAAACAGTGTCATTATGTGACTTGTTCAAAGCACGGCAGTGGCACAACTAACTAAGGGATGATCCAGGGCTAATTTGCCACAACTTAAAGCTGTTATTGATGTTTGCAGCGCATTGTGTGACTGGAAGGGTAAAAATTACGGTTATTTTCGTCAGGTACGCCTCATTAGGTCTAGCATTCTACCTGCTTTGAATCAGACAGAGATAAAGTAGTGTGTTTAATTTAATTACTTTTATTTCAATTAATATTCAAATTAATTGTCAAGGGGAGAGAAAGGAAGAAATGCGTGTGTGAATTACCCGCGTCTGTTCAGTGTCTCTCCCCTCGTTGCTGAAAAATACAATTTAGTGATTCATTAACAAAGCTATTTTATTAATTATAGTCCCGGTACAGTCACATGGGGTCGTCTGTGTTAATGCATCTTCATTTACTTTGCTTGTGGCAGAAGTTGAAAAATATTAAACTTTTCAAGCGTCAGCCAATCAGATCGCCTTTATACAAATGCCCTAGCATGTTGCAGTCCAAGCTGGAAGTAATGGGCTGGCATGGAATGGATTGGCTTTTGTCACTATTAGTCGCGTCAGCACCAAGCTTGAGTGCCACAGAGCAGCGCTGATGACAAGTTTCTATCTGTGCGCAGCGTGATTTCCGTCTGCACAAGTGACCTTCAATGAAAACAGTGCTTTAATATAGAATGGTGATTAACTACTCGCCTTACAGCCAATCAGAATTGAGAATTCAAACAGTCCATGGTACTGTGCTCTAAGGATCAAACTACTGTTTACTGAATGCTTGGTGTTTTGTTTTGTTTTTAGGTTTGTCTCATGAGCAGAACATGGCAAAAATGAGGCTGTTGACGTTCATGGGCATGGCAGTAGAGATGAAGGAGATCTTATTTGACACCATGCAGCAGGAGCTGCAGATCGGTGCTGAAGATGTGGAGGCCTTCGTCATTGACGGTATGTAAAAATGAATGTTAAAAAAGCTTGTTATTGGACAAAAACACATACGTTTATACATATTATGTTTTTCCGTCAATTTCCAGCTGTTCGAACCAAAATGGTCTATTGCAAGATCGACCAGACACAGCGGAAGGTTGTGGTGAGGTGAGTCGGTATCTTCTTTCCATTTCAGACAAGTTGAAAACAGGGGTTCTCAATTCCAGTCCTTATAAAGTAGTTTAATAAAACATTTATATTCATAATATGATGCTATTTTAAAAAGTCTTTAATTTGTTTATTGGATGTAATAGAAACATGCTTTGATTGTCAAAAAACATTATTTTTCACATGCCATACATTTTTGCAGCTTCACTTTTCCCAGTCTGTCTGAGGCCCCGTCCACACTACTGCGTTTTCGTTTAAAAACGGAGACCTTTTGCTACGTTTGCACCTCCCGTCCACACTAAAACAGGAAAAACGAAGACCTAAAACGGAGAAGTTTAGAAACGCTGCAGCTGCGTTTTGCGTTTTGAAACTCCGGAGGGCGTTTTAGTGTAGACGAGACAAAACGGAGGAGTTTACAAACGATGACGCAGAGGCTTACGCTCGGCTCTATGATTGGGTGTCATCAGTCATGACGTGTCCTTCCCTGATTCGCCAACCACTGTTTACACCGGCGCGCGCATGCCCAGTGTTGGTGAATGGTCACGTGATCTGCGTTTTCAGTCGTTTTAATGTGGACTGAGATCAATTCTAATACGCAGACAAAACGCTGGTGTGGACGGAGATCGTATTCGTTTTAATTCTCCGTTTTTAAACGAAAACGCAGTAGTGTGGACGGGGCCTCAATGCACTGATTTGCCAGCTGACATGCTCTGATTGGCCAGCTGACCTAGTGCGTTGTGATTGGCCAAACACCTCGAGCGTGTCAGAAATTTAACTTGAGGATTTTGAAAAAAAATGGTCGAAAAAGAAAATCACATACCCCACCTTTTAAAAAGCATTAAATGAAACAGTCATTTATCACATAGTTAAGCGCTTTGAATATGACAATTTATGTTTAATAGTAATTTAATGTGTATATTCCAGACCTGGATTTGAGAAGCGCTGCTGTAAAGGAATAAGTTGTATTGATCCGCTGCAGATGTAGTACTGATGTGATTGTGTTTCTGTCTCTCTTCTTGTAGCCACAGCACACACCGCACCTTTGGCAAACAGCAGTGGCAGCAGCTCTTCGACACACTCACCTCCTGGAAACAGAATCTGTCCACCGTAAAGAGCAGCCTTCAGACGCTCTCTCCCACTGCCTGACACAGCAGGTTCAGTTTTTATATACATCTAATAAACGACTCATGAAGACCATTTTTGACTTGCACAGTTGTTCTTTTAATCACACTTCACTGTCGGTGCTGTATGAAGGATGATGGGCAGTCAGATGGTCATCGTTGTGAAACGAACCCCTTCGTGCTCCATGGAGCTTGTATCACTCTGAAAGGGTTTAATATTTTGACCAGCTGAATGAACGTCCCACTTGTTACATGGCTACTCATCAAATAAGTGGACATGTTTTATTGATTTGTTAAAAATAAATACAGATCCTCTTAGGTGCACACAAATGTTTAGCCTTTAGTGTTATGGGCAGTGTTGGGAAAGTTCACTTTCTACGTGAACTAGTTCAAAGTTCTGTTCACACATTTTAAAATGAACTAGTTCAGTTCATAGTTCTTTTTTTCCATATGTTGCGAGCTTTTTTATTTTTATTATTGCCACAGCCCATATACAACAATTATTTTATCGACGGGCAGTTTGCAATTTTCCCATCCTCACCGACCTTGTCATAAAATCCGTTTAAATGATACAACGCCTCCTCGCTCGCTGCTTTTCCGGCGACGCTGGTGTCTTGTGTTGCCAGATTGGGTGTTTTTTCGCTACATATTAAGGCCTGGGTACGTGTGTTTTAGCCGGGTTTTCGCCTGGAAGGCTCTATAGAAATCTGGCACCCTATTGTACGAAGTCAAATTGAGAGAGTGTGCGTTCACAGACACCAGAATGAACGCGTTCACAGTAACGTTTATCAGGCAGTAATACAGTATCTGTTCACGTTCGCCCAAAATATGAACGCGTTCTATCGTTCAGGCACAACACTGCTTATGGGATTGTTCAAGTCCTTTAAATATGAGCAACAGGAATATTAAACCACTAAATATGACCACATTAGTCCTCTCAGACATTAACCATCAGGAATACACCTTGGCTGCATCCCAAATGGCATTCTTCTCTGACATAATCTAGAAGTAGTAGGTCCTAGATGACTTACTACTTCCGGACAGTGTGTGTCCCGTGCGGTCTCATAGGTCACATGACAATGACAACATGATGAATGTGGTATGTCCGGATTGACACTACAATCATTCATACTATATAGAAGATACTTTTGTTTTTAAAGTTAGCATAAAATAAGTTGCAATAGTCTTTTATTGCCTATTGTGATGTTTATTTGAGTGAAACCGCTTCTCAAACAAGAAAATATGTCCATGGGTGATTGATTGGATGGTTGCGGTTTGCTATTGGTCGATCTTGTGAGTGACAGATTGTCCCGCCCTCACACCTGTTAACATAATCAGAGATGTCCCTGCAAGAGGGTGGGGAAGATATTTTGATTAAAGATTACAAGGCGTGCACAGATAAATTACTTATAATAATTACTACAATATTTCATAAAAAAAAAAAAATTGTCAGTTTTGATTTCTTTGTGACTGTAGGACAGTGGTAGTCCTCCAGGAGCAGGATTGGAGACCCCTGATTTAGCAGGACAAAGATTAACTCTGGAAATGATGATTAAGAAACATTTTACTCTTTAGACATGTTAATTGGACTGGATTCAATACAATTCCTCAAAAATCCCACTATGAAAAACGACAGATTTAGATACAAACTGTAAACTTTTAATGTCAAACATTAAAAAACAATATATCTGAAAATATGATTCATGAAAATGTCTAAACATTTTTCAAGTTTTTTTTTTTTTGACAATTTTAAAATAAACAGTATACTGACTTTTTTTTGCATAAATTTTACGTTTTAATTTTTTCTTTTTTTTTTTCTTTTTTACATTTTATGCTTTGAACTGAATTATAACTGAACAATTAAATGTAGATGTATAATGAAAATGTTTAATTTCCTAAGTTAACTTTCCCAATAGTTTCCTAAAATGTAGTTTCCCTAGTTTCTGTATCTTCAACATTTTCTTCAATCTCTGAAACATCTTCATCTGTATCAGTATCACAGTCAAAAAACTGTGAAATTACTTATTTTACTGTCAATCTTTGGGAGCTCATTTTTTCTGCTTTCTATGTTGAAGTCTCATGCCACACTAAGTAAAGCACCCCCCCTAAATGAGAAAAAATCACAAAATATCAAGACAAAAAACAAATGTTGACCTGTATTTCCAACAACTAGAAAATGTAAACGTGTCAAATTGACCCGCAACATTACTCCAGGGTTAATAGTTGCATTAAATATCGTCAGGTAAATGTTGACACATTTTCAACCCAGCTGACTTTGACGCTGAACACTGGGGCACGTGTTGAGAGAAAAACATGCTATTAATGAACGGCAAAACCTTCCCTTCCCTTCGTTTGCACTCACTATCCCAGGTTAACAGTTCAGGCTCAAATATGTGTTGTGTGAGATTTACCAGTTATCTCTTCTTTTCTCTATCCACTGATTATTACTATCCCATTTCACGACCCCGTTTTATCATGATCTGATACAGGTTGAATCATATTTCTGCTGAGAAGTCGTAGGTAATGTTTCTTATCTCTCGGATTATATGGTGGCACCACAAAGTATAGGCCTTAGAAATGGATTTCATTGCATTAGTGGATGAATGAAGTCTGTTTTCCTCAAGTTCTCACAGGTGTAGTTCATCATAATCACATTAAAATAACACCACATGACTGAGCCAGGAGGTCCAGAAACATGCAGTATGGGTGAATTTTAGATGCTAAATTGCCAGTAGGTGTGAAAGTGTGTGTTTGTGTCCCAAGACATCTAATGAGGAAGGTTGCAGAAAGACCCGACAACCTACGCCAGAAAAATCATTATATATAATTACTAAAATAATTATCACCGTACATATGAGACACTGTCCATGAATTTTCTTGGCAATGATTTTTACAGGGTAGGTCCAGAAGCACCAATGTCGGATATGACGGAAATGGTCACTGAATAAATATAAATATACACACGACACACACACACAAGTGACTATATTTAATCTGCATTACGTAATCAGATTCCATAAATTAAAAACGAAAAGAACTAGGCAGAATCAATCAACTTTGCGATTGATTAATTTAGCCTAATTCTTCTTTTATAATCTTTTAAATATTTTTCCAAGCAAGCATATTGCTTATATCTTTTTTATATTTCAAATATTTCTTTAATTTTAAAATTTTAAGATTAAAATAATGATCAGCTTTTCATCTATTACCTAAAATTTTGGGAAACCCTTGTGTAATGCAATGTATTCACTTAATGTTGTTGATAATAAAGAATGGAATAAAGTTTCTTTCACTTTGTATTTGTATATCAATATGGTACAAGATTATTCAAATCAATGTGATAAATTATTTAGGTCAAAAGTAATCTAAATGTAATTAAATAGTAGCCAGATTACATGTAAAATGTGTAATCTAATAGAACTGCATATGTAAATTCTATACAGTAATAGACTACAATGTGTAAAATGTGTAAAGTAATTACCCAGCACTCACTAATTTTGATATTCAGATGAGATTGATTAATCTATGTTCAACACTTCTTGTAACAAATTTTTTAGCAAAATGTTTTATTTTATTTTTTATTTTTTTTCAAATAAATTCCACTTGGTTTTGATATTTTAATGATTTATCTAACGTATTCAAAGCTCTTTTTGGAGGGACTCTTCATATATTTCATAATTTTGTGTGTGAACACATTTGTTTTTTAATAAAATGTCAGCAAGCTGTTGAGTAATACTTGGGTGAGTTTCTGCTGAGCTTAAAACTCTTTGCCAAAGTTGGTGAAAAGTCGATATCTTATTTTCAGAGCAATATAAGGGTGATTCTTCAATTAGGGGAACTTTTATGTCCCCAGGTTATACATTCATGTTAAAAATACAATATTATAAAATAAACAGTTTAGTTATTTAAAATTATATTTATTGTACCACGAAAAAATGTTATACACTAAAATCAGTATGATTTCCATTTTTAAAATTATTTTCATCACTAATATTTGGCTATTCAGGCCTTGTCCCCAACCCAGACTTCAAAACTTGTCTGCTCTGAAAATGTGATAAAATGTAATCAGTTCATTAAACAATTACAATATATGTTTAAACAGTAACTTTAAAAGGCACTTGATGCATAATTCGGGTTAATATCTGTGCAATTTGTGAATATTTTTAACAATTTAGTATTGTCCACAACAATACTGTCATTACCGCAACAGTCTATAATTACAACAAGGATATTTCTGAGGGTGAGACTTGTTTATGCCGTAACCATGGAAATGAAGACTAGAAGTGGAGCACATGTCAGCCATGAAAGAACAGTGAAATTTGATGTCTGAAAAAGTAAGTTATTTAATCTTGAATTCTTTCTGATCATGGAGTAGACTTATTCAGCGTCATTACCATAAATGTTGTAGCAGCAATATTTTGATACATTTATATATACATTCACGTGATTTATGTGTATTTAAAGTTTTTTGTACTAGCTGTTGAGTAATGTTAGCAAAACCATGACCTAGCATCTTTTTTTCCTGAAAAAAATTAAAAATATCATTACCGCAACACGTCATTACCAACACACAACTTGTTGTGATGGTAATGACAAGTGATGGTGGTAATGACATGTTCCGTGTCACTATCTATATCATATTGTGTGTTTATTAATTAAGTTAAAAAAGCATAATACTGTGGTTTTACAGTGAAACTTAAGTGATAGGTCTTACTTCATAAAACAATTTTTTCTTATTTTTTTAACCAGAATGGCTTCCAAGAAATCAACAGAAAGGTCTAGAGATTATAGAAAAAAATTGAAGGGAGATCCTGTAAAATATCAGCAGTATGTTTACAGAGAAAAAGAAAGATACAAAAGAAGAAAAGAAACAGGAAAGCTTAAAGTAATCTCTTACTTTAACACTTTAGTAAACACTTTTAGTAAACTTTAAAGTAAACACTTTAAGGCATTTTTCCACTACACAGTACCAGCTCGACGGTGTTAGGCCTACCACTCATAAGCAGTGTGGAACCTGTGTTAGGCTGGGTCCATACGTTGCGGTCCCTACAGTGACGGGAGTGTGTGATGCAAATCAC